CAATACATACAAATTTAAATATTTAATTGTATTCAAATATTTAACCTTAATATTAGAGACCTGACCAACGACTGTGATAGGAGAACCCTCATAAGAGAATAATTTTTTAGAACAATTTTCCAACTCAAAATCTTCATAATTCTCCAATTTAAAATCTTTAATGGGCAAGGATATCACCGGAGAACCCGTATCTATCAAAAAAGAAAAATTTATTATTAAGTTGCATATTAATCATAAAATCATTAATAAAATTTATCTTATTCCTTGGCCTCAAATTATATGGCCTTTGTATCATTTCTTGTTTTTTGAAATTGTTGTTGTTGTAGTTGTTGTTGGCCTTAAAATCCTGCTTGTTCTTTTTCCAAGACGAATAGCCTTGCCAATCGGCTCTATCCTCTCTTCTCCAAGAATCTTTCTCTACATATGTTTTATTATTATTAATCTCCAACGATTGAAATTTGACAACAATGTCCTCTATAATATTAAGCTCTGTAGTATTTTCTTCTATCAACCTTGTTTTTAGCTTTTCATTACGACAATTCAACATAAATTGCACCGACAAAAATTCAGGATTGAGCCCCGAACCATACTCCTTCAGTCTATCGAGATACTCTCTGGAAGACTCAAGTCTGTCCGGTTTTGTATTGAATAATTCAAATATGCGCGTAATCTTGTTTTTTTCAACTTTTTTTTGTATTAAATCTTTCATCTGTTGATACGATAAGTTATCTATGTTGTCCATAATACTAACAGCCATATCTTTGTCAATTGTTTTGAACAGTTTGTATTTCTTAGTTGCCTCATCAACAATATTTTCGACTAAAAATTTCAGATCCAATGTTTTCAATAGAACTTTGATTTTGATATGCCCCTATCCTCCACCATATTGCACAAGGGGAAAAGTTCAATTCGCCGGTTAAGTCAGAGATTGATTGGAATTAGTAGTAATTTGTCTTTATTTGTCATATTTATCAAGAATGAAATAAAATGAATAAATTTTATTTATATTTAAGAATATTGAACAATAGTTATACAAAAGAAAACAAGTGGTATTCTAAATGAAAATATATATCAATATATATATGTTTTATCGCCTTGAGATGTATTTATATACATGTTAATTTCATTGAATAAAAAGATAATATAAGAAGTATACAATGAATTACAACAATTTAAGCGAACATGCAACAAATAGATTATAAAATAAGTTCTTTTTATAATAATTTATTTATTTATCATTAACAATTGATTTTCAAAATTAGACAAACAGAAGTGCTTATTGCTCAACACAGCTTTCATTGTTTAACTTATCCATAAGTCGAAAAAAAAACATAGTTTCTAGATTATAACTAAAAAAATTTGACTAAACTGAAGATTGGTTTTTATTTTAAGATTAATTCTCAAAATAAGATTGGAGAAATCTGCTTCATTTTTATCTAAATAATGTTTAGCATTACATTTGTTAAGAAATACTTTTCAAATGGGTCTAGTTACAGATATATAGTCTGAAAATCGATTTAGATACCCATGCATCGTCTAAAAACGTATTTAGATACAGATAAAATTTTTATAATACTATGAAGTGCTCATAATGCTCAGGATTCTATTGTTAAAATTCAAATATCGAAGTGAGCTATAAAGCTGATATCACATCTATGTACAAATATATTAAAATAATGACTATTAAGATATTAATAATTCATATACAAAATTTAAAATTAAATGATTATAAAGTTAAACTATTTTGATAAAACATTATCAAAATTTTTAACATTAAGACACCTCCGTTTATCTGTAAAGACATTTTTCGCCATACTAAACTCCTTTTACCGATGCATGACGGCATAATGGTTGTTTTATTTATGGGTATAATCACATAAAATATATTGATACTCAATTTTAAAATAAAATTAAATTTGATTAATTTAAAAACATATATCAATATTTATATCATCTAAGGAATGCCCCAAGAAGATTTAATACTAAATCTTTTCATTTATTTTCAGTGATTGTCAAGTAATTTTAATCTAAAAATTATGATATACATTTTTTTTTATTATAATCTAGAACTTAGCGTGTCGTCATCCCTTGCGGAAAATAAAATTTGTCTAGTTTGATATAAAAAAAAACATAAAATAAAATTGTTTCAATATGTATCTAAAAAGTATCTTCAAATAGATACAGATACCTATATAAAATGGTATCTAGATATCGATACTTTTTTTTATAAAAGTATATCTTTAGCAAAAAAAGTGAAATTATGTTAAACCATTTTTCAAATAATTAATTTATCAAAATCGTGAGTAAATTATATATAATACCTAAATTTATATAAAATAGTAATATATATAATTATAATTATTATAAATATGATTGTGTACAAAATAAGAATACATTTAATTTATTGAATTAAATAAGATGTTATCTTTGAGTGTTTATTTAGTGCAATTGTTTTATTTGCCTGGCTTTTGATAAGATCTTCTGAATATTGTGAACTATTATCTTTTATAAATATAAAATATTTTGACACATTCTCTCTGCGTATGTTCTGCTGGTAAGCTCCTTCTATATCTCTCTCTCCACTTTATGTTATTCACGCTATCTCTCTTATCAATTTATACTTCTTCATATTGGCTCTAACTTTATGGTCCCATTGAAGTATTGGCCTTCCTCTTTTAGGTTTGCCCATCACTTCCAAAAAACTCTCAATCTTATTTCCTATATAGTTCATAGGCCTTCTCATTGTGTGCCCATACCACCTAAGTCTGTTCACCTAGGTATTATTATATGTCATTGGTATAGATATATAGTTGGATCGACAAATTTAAGATTGATTATTCTTTGTTTTAGGTAGAAGCCTTCTTAGTATCTTTTGGTTTCTTTTTTTTAAAAAAGTAAGTTTTCTTTTTTTTGCAAATATATTATATTATAGATTTTATTCAGGGAATGTTATATTTTATTCAGTCTAGCAAGATTTGCTCTTCCATTCACTAGGAAGATTATATCAATCTTCCCTGTTATAATTATTTCAGTTTTTGGCTATTTCTACTCTATAGTCTTTTGATTGAGTAAAATCGTTTCCTTATTATGGACAAATTTCCAAGTTGGAATAGAATTATGATGATTCATAAACTTAAACTTTTATAGCATAAATATCTAAATTTTGCATTTGATAAATCAAGAATAGGATTATATGTCATTTTTTCACTTTAACTTAATATATATTAAATTTTTCATCATTTTTGTTTTTGCTTTAAGGTAAATAGAAGAAATATTATAATAAAATAATTTAATGGCCACAAGGAAAATAATATTTATTTAAAATCAACCTAAATTTTTTTATTATAAGAATGCTATTTAAATAAATTTATTTCTTTAAATGGCTGCCTAACATTCTTAAAAAAAGGAGTAATTTAGTACCCAGCATCTAGCTAGCTACAATTTTTGGATAAATAATAGCCACTAGCACAACATTATTTAAAATTTTTAGTAGTTTTGATAATATTTCTAATATTTTTAATTTTTCTTCCCCTTCTTTCCATTTCATTGGCCAAGTTGTTGCAGCTAATAGCATGCATCAAAATTTAAATATATGGTAGTCATGAACTCCTCGTGTTCATTTATTTTGGGGGTTAGAGGTGTAGACATTTTTCCTAGAAACAAAAGGGAAACTCATACTATATAATTCTATTTAAATTTGGCATTTTATAGATCCCAAAAATTATTCTTTGAGTTTTCTAGAGCCCTGATATATCTTCTTATTAATTAATCCACTATTTTTTGAAAAAAAAATATCAATCGATCTCCATTGCAAAGCGTTTTGAATAATATAGGAGTTTATTTTCAATCCTAATAATAATTTAGAAAAACACCAGTAGGTAACACCAATGGACAGCATAGCCCTTTAAGCCCGTGTCTAGTATTTATAATTATTACTTTTTTAATAATTTTTAAAAAAGGGCTAACTCAGTATTTCTTCCAGAAAAAAAATATTATGCAAGCCTGAAGATTTTGCTCATAGAAGGAACAAGAGGTCTAGACATATATTATCGAAACCCTGAGTTTTAAAAAATAGGCTCAAAATGTGCCGTTTAACAACTCTTACTTTATATCGGATTTCACATATAATTTTCGCATTAATTTAATATAAATTTTTTTTAAATTTAATGAATACTAATACTAATTTAAATTTTAAATTAATTATTTATAAAATTTAAAATTTATATTTCAAAAAATAAATTACTAACCACTGTTCGAATCGATTTCTATTTTCTAAAATTGAAATTTATTTTAAGTCCAATATTCGACTTACTCCACAGAAGGGTGCCGAATAAAATAATCGGCTGAGCCTTTGTAACGCGTGTAAATTTATTTGCGATTTTATTCAGAGTTGAGTTATGACTGATTTTCGGGTAAAAACTAGGTCTACCCGTTTTTAGACCGCTAAATATCCGCTAAAAAGGTAGCGCAATCAATTACCCGATTAAACTTAGTAGTTATTACAACACAACGATAAAAGATGAAGAAAATCATATCTCTATAAAAAAATTTATAATAATCATTATTCAGTCTCAGAGAATTACACAAAACCTTGTCTCGGCTAAAAAGATATCACAAAACTTTTGAGACAAGAAAATTTCAATTTCAAAATATAATAATAATTTATTAAAATTTTTTCTCTTTTTATAATATTAAAATTGTAAGATTTTTTTTTTTATGTGCAGAAAATTAAAAATAAAAGAATATAATGAATAATATATATTTTTGAATAAGAAATTAGGGGACACACAAATCAATAAAAAGATAAAATGTTTTGAAAATTATCAATTTTTTCGAAATATTAAAACAAATATATATATATATGTATGTAGATAGATATAATAATAAACTTAATACTCTGGGAATTGGGATCGAAATTTAAGCAAAAATATAAGGATTGAAGGAAAAATAAAATAATGAATATATAATTAAATCATGGCGACACCTATCTTTGGTAAGCCAGATTCTTACGAAAAATGATTATCAGTTCATTTTTTAAGTGATATATTATAAAAATAAAAATTTCACCGCAAATAGGACTTCAAGTCTTTCGATGTTTTTTTGTTTTTTGGTATTTAGTAGACGCTTAATTTCTTTCCCCCCTTTATATTTATTATATGTATATTATGATAGATTATTGATCTATGCTGATTCCCATAGAAATATGCATTTATTGTAATATAAATAGCTTTGAAAAAAGTTAAATACACATATAATAACCGAAATTTTTATTTTTAAAAAATTATATAAACTATATACCTATACCTCATTTCGGAAAAGAAAGAAAAGGAAAAAATTATGTTTAATAATAAGTTTTTATTGGGGATCTTCTCTTACTTTCTACCAATGGCTCCGCTATTGAACCATAATTTGGCGCTTTTTTTGGGCAATCATTATTCCGTTACTAAAACCATGCATTTGCTTACCAAAGATCCTCATGTAACAAATTTGAATGGTAGCACCAAAAAAGTTGGTATCAATACCGTCGTGAGCGATAAAAACGATTCTAATTTAGAAGTAGTTCTTATTCACGATATCAGGTTTAGTTATATGCGATATCTTTATCAAAATATGAAACGCCGAAATATCTTCGAAAGTTATTGGGACAAATCTCATCTTGCTAAATCCTCTTCGAAAGAGTCAGATGATTCCATGATCATTAGAAGTTTCGAGAAAATCAGTAATTATATTTTTTTTTAATCTCCCATTATTTCACTGCATTCTGCTTTTAGGGAATCCTAATAAACCATACATTCACGTTTTTGACATATCGGTAGTTTACGATGAGAATATACTGAACGCGGATATACTATTTTCGAATGACGACATCAAAGGACTGCAAGATGCGGGAAGAGTGAGCCCATTTATTAGATTATTTATAGTATTTAACAGAGTTGTTAAAAGATACTTTTTAAATGGATCTAGATACAGATAAATCGTCTAAAATAATATATAGATACAGATATTTTAATCAAAAATCTATCTAGATACAGGTACAGATACCACATTTTTATATCTAGATACTTGTATCTAGATCCTTTAACAACTCTGGTAAACAAACAAAAATCAAGAAAAAAAAATATTCTTCAATTTCCTAGATTTCTATTCGTTTTATCTGGCAAATATCTAAATTAATAACTTGCTTCCTTATTATCTCGATGATCAGGCAGTTCTTTATTAGAGTTTGCGTTATATATAGGAATAAATTGGCCCCTTAGTTAAAATTTTTTTTAAAATAATGATATTGATATCAAAATGGCGTCCCCAGCTGTTTTTCATTGATGTACACTTTTAACGCGAATACATCGTCAGTCTAGGTATTTATTATATGTCACTGCTCTACGTTTATGTAGAATGTATATTATTTTTTTTGAAAATTCAGAATCATTTTTAATTTAAGGGTCCCGAAAAATTTCTTATTATATAATTTATACACGAAACAAAATTAAAATTTTATTTCCAAATTAATTATTTAAAAAAAAAAAAAGATTAAGATACGATAAAATTTTGATAATTAATAATAACATAACACCATGAAAGAAAACTTAAATATAAATATTTAGGTTACATCGGCGGGGCTTAATGAACCATGTATGGATATACAGTTTGATTCGGCAAATTTTTTATCTATATGGGTAGATTCATTTGACAATATAAATATTATACAAAAATAAATAAATCAAACTAGACTCCGACCATGCGTCAGATAGTGTATAAAAACCACGAAGGCGTGCTTCATCATATGACGGCGGAGGAATCAAATTTTTATCGCGACGGAAACTTAGCCAAAGTGTCGGGTAACGCTGTCGAGAATTGGCTGAAGATAAATGTCACATACATACTTTTGCGGTTACATGGCAAGAAACCTTCAAGTATAGGTAGTTATTTTTAAAAAATATATATATATATATAAGAAAGAATACATCTATTATTTATATGTATTTATTTTCTTCTTCTTACATTTAGGATTTGTCTTCGATGTTAAAGATGCTTCGCAACGTTTTAATCACACCATGGCGCCTTTAGATATAGAGTCAACTTTGGTCATTATTTCGGATAAAACTTCACACGAAATGCCAATTTTCGCGTACGCTGTGAAAGGTAATTGTAATATTGTATAGCACTAAAGTTTTAACCTGCTGTGATACAGGAGAAAAATCTGATCTAATCCCGAAATGTATGCTAGCATGTATATAGCACCCACTAGTGTTGTTAAAATGGGGCCCGATGAAGATTATAGATACAATAATATTATGTAAGCCCGGAGATTTTACTGATAAATGAAGGTAAAATGACAAAAGTAGTTAAAATTAATGGAAATAAATATTAGGGTATTGTAAAGGAAAAAATGTTATTATCTTCCACAGCCAGAAAGGTCTGGATTTCTTATTTGAAAAATCATAGGCTTACATAATTACTATTTTGGCTAAAATCTTAATCGGGCCGTTAAAAAACTCTAGTACCCACATTATAAATCTTAGACAATTTAGCCCCCGGACTAGTTGAAATGCTTTTTAATTTATATCCATTTTTATATATAATATGGTAAAAATTGGCTGGAAATTTAAAGGCTAGGTTATTATTCTACACATACTGGAATACATTTCCGGTTCAAATCAGATTCCTTAAATTTCCCTTCAGTAATGGAAATAAAAATTTGAAAAGATTCCGAATTAAAACCAAATTTATTTATTTTATTTTTTTTTAAAAAAAAGGTGTGGCTAATAGACGCAAGAGATCAATAATTAGAGAGATTCCGAAAATCTTTAATGATACTAATTCTAAGATAAACAATATGTTTCAATCGCAATCACGACTCGACGAAGAAAATTATTTGGCCGAACAAGCTGAGACTCTCTGTCAGAGGTATCTGATAAGGGTATTTTTAAAACCTCCTAATAGGTTCATAATTGTAATAATTCTTAAAAAAAACTGATTAAGTAATATTTACAATTTATAACGGTATCAAAGAAAAATATCATTCATATATTTATCCTAAATAAAGGTATGACATGACAGTGGACTTCGAAACATTGGGATTCCTAGACGAGGATTACTGGATAATAGCTCCAACCAAATACAACGCGTATTATTGCGAAGGGGGCTGTCATCCTAGGTATTTAGGTTTAGACCTGAACCCCACAAATCACGCTACACTCCAGGGGCTTTTATACGATATCCAAAATAGCCACGAGAGGGAAGACAATCAACCCCTTAGCGATGAGCATAGATACCGCGTTGAGAAAGGAGACTTAAAAGAATCGAATTCCTCGGAGAGGAATAGCGGAGTGCGAGCCAGCGAAAGGGTGATAAGCGACGACGTGAGACCGCCTTTACCGTGCTGCGTTCCCAATCACTTAGAACCACTAACGGTACTCTATTACGATAAACAAAGGAATGTTGTGCTGAAGCGTTTCACTGATATGATAGCGTCTAATTGTGGTTGCCAGTGAAACTTACGAATTTTATACTTATCTATTTAAGAAAATTTTTTTTATAATTGATTGCGCTTATTATATTCAGATGTTTAAAAACAAGCCTTAATCAAATGAATACGAATGCTAAAAAAAAAATTTAATATCTGGTGCCATTTCCGACTCTTATTTAGGTAGTTTATAGGTAATATAAATAATTACTTAGAACTTACCAATAAGATGCAGGCTTAATTGCGCCCTAATTGGTCTAATTATTTCGTTCTTAATTCATAATTGATTGTTCTATTCCTAGAAACAGCCAGGGGCTTTCTATTTTAAAGAACAATGTATTATAAGATAGCGACAAGAGGTTGTGACAAGTACCAAAATACGCTGTTTATTTAGAATTATAAATAAGAGGAGATATAAAAATAAAGCGCGTAACATTTAACCAATGATAAAGGTAATTAACAATTATATCGATTAGTGTTGTTAAAAAAGCCTATATGGGTCGATTTTTCAAAACAGCCCGTAAAAATAATATTAAGATTTGGCAAATAGATGTCCAAGCATTTCTGCTAGCTATGAGTAAAATCTTTAGATATAATGTTCTTTTGGTTATATAGTATACCAAAATTCGCCGTTTTAATTATTTTTTTAAGTCTAAAAAATTATTTAGAATTATAAGAGGAAGGAGATATATATAAAAAAAAGGCCGTAACCATTAGCTGATGATAAGGGTAATTAATTATTATATCGATACTAAGCTGCTCGTATCATTTCGTCCAGAATTTTTTTAAAATTCAATTTTGTTTTAAAAGTATACATTTTTTTTTAAAAAAAAATTCTCATAAGAAAAATGCTAAGTCAACTCCGAAATTTTAATCATATGTTTATTTTTACCTTACATTATTTTTTTTTCAATTAGTAAATTTAAATCGCTAGCGTGATCATGATTAGAGATCTGTTTGCAATGCCATACTCAGCCCATGGGCCGGTTAACGACCGAAAAAATTAAGGGCCGATGTGTAAGAAGTAATGCCATGGGCGCTTACTATAGAATAGAAAATAAATATTGAGGCGGCCTAATTTTGTTAATTTCATAAAATACGATTTATTTTTCCTTTTCCGACATTTTGCATAGCTTGATTTGAACAGATTTTTTTTTAAAAAACGGCTAACTCCATATTTTAGCCAGTAAAATATTGCCTATGCCTTGAGGTTTCGCTAATAGATGTCCAAACCTATGTGCCATTTATGAGCAAAATATTCGGGCTTGCGTAAAATTTTTCCGAATAATATATTGAGTATGCCGTTTTTGAAAATCGGCTCAAATAGAGTCGTATAACTACAATATTTATAATAACAAAATCGTGAAATATATCCTCATCATTAATCTTAAAAAGTGAACCTGAGAGTCGGGTTTTAAAATCCTTCGCAGATCTCCAATAACCATCATTAGTTTAAAATTCTTAATAATATTACAGTTCAATGTTGGTCAAATGAATTCTAATAAAAAAAAATATTTGATCGCTTTAATCAACCATTATTTTCGGTTCTCGTTTCAAGGCTATAAGGGGGAGTTGGGAGTTAAAAACCTTTGGCAAAAAATATTTCTATTTATGGTAATAATATGTATCAGACGAAAGCTAATAAAAAGATCCTCTTAAGACTAAATTTTCTTTTTGATAATTTTTTAAGGCCAATTTTTTTTGGAAAACCCTTCCCTTTTAACATAATTATCGATATGGATATCAAATGAAATGGTATAAAAAGAGTTCTTTTAACTGCTATCAATCATCCCCCTCGAATCAGAAGCATAGTTTTATAGGGTTGGGATTATATTGAATTGCAATATTAAACCTCTACCAAAAAAAAAATCGTGATGAGTCTAAATGAAAGGTTTAACTTCTCTGTTTCCTAAAAAGATATGGATAAAATTTTATGTATTTTAGGCTCATACATAAATATCGACATGGATATCAAATGAAATGGTATAAAAAGAGTTCTTTTAACTACTATCAATCATCCCCCTCGAATCAGAAGCATAGTTTTATTGGGTTGGGATTATATTGATTTACGATCTTAACCTCCTTCCTAAAAAGATATGCATGAAAAATTTTTTTTTTTTAATAATTGTTCTAGACTAATTTTTTAGAAAAACCCTTCCGTTTAACATAAATATCGACATGGATGTCAAATGAAATGGTATAAAAAGAGTTTTTTAACTACTATCAATCATCTTCCTCGAATGAGAAGCATAGTTTTATGGCGTTGGGGTTATATTGAATTACGATCTTAACCTCTTACAAAAAAAACACTTTATTCTCCGCTTCCTAAAAAAAGATATGCATGAAATAATATTTTTTTTTATTGAATTTATAATACATTTCAAAATGCTAAAATATTATTTATTTTTTTCTAAAAAAAAATGTCATATATGGTTACAAAATTATATACTTATATAAAAAAAAATATAAAAAATGTCAATTCTTCTTTTTAAAATGCTTTTATAATAATAATAAAAAAATAAATATTTTTTTTTAAAAAAAAACGCGAGGCGATGATTGGTTAAAAATAAAAAAATTTGGCGGTTTTCCATATATAATAAAATAGCACGCATTCATAAAAAGTCTGAAATTTGTACGAAAATAAAATTCTATATTTATATCTATGTAAAATAAAAATAAAAAAAGAAAGATATGAAATGAAAGAATAGAATATTTACATGGACGTCGGGTGTCTGCATTATTAAATATATTTAAAATAATTTAAGAAAATACTTTTTAAGAGCATAAATTTGATAATAATATTAGCTTTCGAAAAATAGCAGCATTTACGCAAATCAATTAGTATTTCTATTAACTCCATTTTTTTGCTAATCGAGTAAATATTGGTGTAGTAATAGCTCAAATGACTAAAAGACCGTAATTACATCCCAAATGGAAAGAGAAAGAGATGCGGGGAAGGGGAGTTGAAATAAGTAGTTTTTTCTGTCATTAAAAAGTCTCTTTTTTTTTGATTTTTTCAAAAAAAAAAATTTGAGCAAAATATTTTAAAAAATATTGGTTTATATTAAAAATTATATAAAAATTTTTTTTTTTGATATTCTTATGGAGAGAGTTTGTTTTATTTTTTGGTCTAAATAATTTTTCTAAACTTTACGTTTCATTTTTAAAGATTGGTTATTATTTGTATAATAAATAATCTGAAAAGATATGAGATAACAAAAATGTTAAGTATTTGGCAAAAGAAAAAATAATTTTTTTTTTAGGATAAAAACGATAATACTTTTATAAATTTGATGGTGTATTTAAATGCTTAAAAAATGGAATGGGAAAATGGCAGTTAAGCAAGCATTTTCAATTGGTAGCTTATTGTGTTGTGTATTAAATATATTAAATTTTTTTTTTGTCGGCGAAATGCCCGAATACCAATCATAAATCGGGGAAAGCTTCGAGTGTAAAGTCCCAAAATTATTTAATTTATATGTTTTTTTTTTAAATTCTTTCGCATATTTGATCCTAATACTATATAAAAGGGGCATAAAAAAGGTTTAAAAAAAACTTCTTTTTAAAAAAATAATATATTCATAGATTATTATTATTCTGTTGAATTATTGAATGAACGGTGGTGAGTCGCTGCGCTAAATGCTTTTGCCGCGCCATCGGGTCAGAGTCGAGGGCGGCGTTGAGCTGATTTTTGTAAGGGCAAGCGTATTTAACGTATAATTGCCATATGGCGGCTTTACTGTTGAAGCCGCAATTGGGAAAAGGCTGATCCGGGTTTTGAACGTGTGGGGCAGGCGGAAAGGAATAATGGGGCGAGGAAGACGATATATTAAGTAGAGATTCCTCTTTGAGGAATTCCCCCATCTCTTGATCGGTGACAGGGGGCAACATGCGTATGTCTTGATAATATCTGTCAATGTTATACACACATATTTTAAATATCGTATTATTTAAGGTATAACTTAAAAAAAACACCCAAAAAATGCCAAATATTGTAATTAAATTTGGGTGGGGTTGGGGGAAATGAGTGTAGACTATTCAGAGTTATGTATTAAGGATAATTACAAATATATCTGAGACCTGCAGCAATACCATTTGCATAGCCCGACCCCTACGTAAAAAAAAAAATTTCGGCCCGGCCCAGATTATTTTAAAATATACGGCCCGGCCCAGGTATTTAAAATTTTCTAATACCCGAGCCGGGCCTTCGGGTCTCTGAAATATATAATTTCGAAATGCTCATTATTTTTACCTTTCGACCCATTCTTTGTAAATGGAGATATCCTTGGCGTAAAGTAGTTTGCTCGAAGGGGAATCCTTACCCAACCTCTGGTCGCAAGTAGAACAGCTGTCCATAAAGGTTTGGGCTATAACGGAAAGGCAGGCGTCTACCGTGTGAGATTTTCGGACGTCCAGAACGAAATTAGGGTTTTTTATGAGATTGACCCAGAAACGGAGAGGTAGACTTCATTTTAAAATTAGGGTTTAAACTATTTTTAAAAATGGTGTATTTTAAACTGTAATAAAAATGACTTGATAATGGAGTTGAGCTTGAATACTTAAAAGTAGTGTTGTTAAACGGCTAATATTGCCTAAGCCTTAAGATTTTGTTAATTGATGTCTAGACCTTTGTGCCATCTATGAGCAAAATCTTCAGGCTTGCGTAATATTACACTAGATAAATATTGAGTTAGCCGTTTTTAAAAATAGGTCAAATCGAGCCGTTTAACAACACTACTTATAAGTTAGTAGGGGGAGACCGGGGTTATATTGTCCATAAAAAATTTGAAGTGCTATAAAATAATAGATGAAGCAAATTTTACAAAATGGTTTTCTTTACATATGTCTCTTAGGAAGAAAATAAACTTTTAGTAAAAAAAAATTTTAAATTTAAGAATAATAAAAAACAACCCGGGGCACCTCTTATCCCTTCACGCGTGTTATAGTGCTTTTATTTTAAGAATTTTTAAAAATTTTTTTTATAAAAATGTTAATTCTAAGTAAATAAATGAAAATAAATGTCATTAAATTTACCAAATTCATCTATATTATATATATCACCCAGTAGAACTTGCTGTAAACTGTCATGTAATTTTTTTAAAAAAGTCAAACATCTTTATATTGCAGATAAGTTAGCGGCTTCTAAACTTCTTATAAATTTAGTTAGATTTTTTTTTTATTCAAAATAACTCCCTGCTTAAAAAATGGCTAATACGTACCCCGCCAAAACCTGCCCCAGGTTATTCACAATTAAAATTTAATTTCAAGATATTACATTATCAATATTTGAGTTTACTTTTATCATTTATAAATGATATTTAGACTGAGTAACAATTTAAATTTATCAGCAAAAATGTATAAAAATAGAGCTACTTTTAAGGTATTAAATTTATATTTGCATTTAAAATGAACATATTTCTCCGAAACATTTTTAGAAAGATTAAAACCTGCCCCGGGATAACACTATACCCACACACTTTTTGTTCCAAATTATAATATCTATGATTTATTATTAATTATACAAAAATAAACAGATAATATGTAAAGATAGTCCTTTTTTCCCACCAAATTGTATTATTTGATATATTATATCATTTTTTGATAAAAAGAAAAATATTTGGAAATGGGAAAGGCGAGTTGTGTTTTAGCTGGAAAAGAAGGAATTTAAGATTTAAGGGGGGAGGGGGGGGGGTGGAATTAGCACTCTCTATAACCTATTGCTCTTCCAGGTATGCACGACTTCGCTATCCGTGATCCCGTGTTGAAAGGCTTGATCGTCCAAAAAGTCGAACATGAATTTTATGGCCAACGGGAGCGGGCACGTTCTTTGGGTCGTCGAAAATATCGCGTCGAATAGATCATCCACGAATTTTTGAAGGGTTCCCTTTTTTAAAATAAGTAGTCGGAAGAGGGAATGGAAGAAGAAAAAAAATTCAAATCATGTAATATGTAAGAATATTGTAGAGTTAAAATGTTTAATTCTTTTTCTCTCTAGAATATTACCATTTTATGCAATCCTACCTACATATGTGATTTTTGTAAGGTAAAAGTTAAAAAAAAAATGTTTTGTTTATTCAGATATTTTTGTTGTTAACAATTGGCTTATAATGATTTTGAGCTCCCAATAATAGTTGTGGTTTCAAAAATTAAATTAAGGTTATTTGAAATATATTTATTACTCATTGTTATAAAATATTATAGAACTTATTTAAATATAAATGGTTTTTTTAAACGCAATAATTATCATCATTCTTGTACCTTAGTTGCCAGCAGCCTAGTGAGGTAAATCTCGCTGACCATTTTGCCGCGAAGTTCGTTGCCGCCATTGTCCCCGGCTGAACTGTTCGATTTTTTTCCGGAAAACCCTGTCTTGACCTTAATTCGATCACCTGACTTCCCGTCAGGGTCGATCATGTCCAGCGAAGGCTTAACCAGGTGCCACAACTTGTAGGCGTCGGAGGAATCGTTATTAGAACGGTTATTTTTGCCGTTATTTTGGTTGTTAGGATTTATCAGGTAATTATTGCCATATTTAGGCGAACCTTTGTGGTTATTGTTTTGAAGGATATGATTATTGATGAGCCGATGCTTCTGAGGGAATGAAGGCGAATTTACGTTACGGTGGCCGTTTGTGAGGGAAACAGATCCTAGGAAACTTTTGGAGGAACCGTTGGAGATGTTGGTGTCGATCGACGGGTGGCTAGGTTGAAGGGCAAGGGTTGACTCGTTAGGAACCTAAAGGAAGGTGTTTTAAAAAAGATTTTTATATCTGAAGGGATCTAATCTCTTCGAAAATTAATAGCATCGATTAGAGATAGATTTTCGATGGTTTGGACATCTATCAGTGAAATCTGGACGCTTTATGTAATATTTTTCGGGGGGGGGGGGGTTAAAATATTGGTTTTTAAAAAATGGACTCAAGTCGAGACATTTTTTATCAAACGATCCGAAATCATCATTTTGGTGGATTCGAGGGAATGCTTCGGAAGAAGTATCTCTCCTTATTTTTCGCCCATCTGGATACCGGGCCTCTCCTTTACAAAATGACAGGCGACTTAATAACATAAAACGTCGTTCGTTACTTTTTTTAAAACGAGTTATACCTTTCGTGAAACGAGTAATATTTTAAAAGGAAAAAAAAATTTGGCCGAGTTTTCAGGTTCAAAATCATGGACGTTAGGATTAAAAACCGCCCAATGCAGACCTCCCGACTCTATCATACTTTATTGTCTAAAAAACGACTCTGCTCATCGATTGGTTTTGGGAACAAATAATAAGCCTATACCAACTCCTATTATTTGGACCATTTTTATGCCCCTTCCCAACCTGAGCCAGCCCCGGGTTTTGGGTCAAGGTTCATGTCTCCAAAATATATCAAAGTGAAGAAATTATTAATAGAGTCAATCAATTAATATTCTGCGGGACTTGACGGGTCTCATCAACTTTTAAAAAAATAAGTCCATGATCATTAGCATAGCCGCCTTAAAACCGCGTTGTAACAATTGAACTTGCATATATAGCCCGAGTAAGAACGATAGTCAAAATCAAAATTTTTTCCCGGCGAATCAGAAATGTATACTTATTTTGACGAGAGAGGTAATGCAGGCATTTTCCGTTAGTTTGATAAAAAATATGTTAAAGAAGTATATTATAATCAATGGCATTAATACTATAGACTGGGCAATCGTAATGCTGAACAAATTTGAAGTGGCAAAAATGGAAGTGACTGGTGGCCATTAAGAAATATACGATAATTTCATGAATTTCAAATATATTTTAAAATATGTTTTATATTTATAATATTTAAAAACCATTTATATTATATCCCAAATTATTATTTACTTATACGTTTTACTAGATGAATAAAAAAAACCTTTATAGAAGCAAGTAAATTATGGTTATACTGTCTTGATTATTGCTTAATGAATACCTTTAAGATTTATTTAGAGTAAGTTAGCGTAAATATTTTTTATAGTGAAAAGAACAGATTAAGCATTTACAGAGCAAATAGAGGTGATGTTTAATACTTTGTGAATATTATTAAGATATTTAAACTAAACAAGTTTAAATAAATACTTTTTATAGTGATAATAAGAATATAATTAAAATATTTTCTGCTCTTTATTAACATTTGCAGTTTTTACTCAATGAATATCTTTAAGATTTTATACAAACTAATCAATATATTTTTTTTTAAAACTGTATAGTAATAGTTTAAAATTTTGTACCCTTTTTATTAAAATTTGCAGTGAAGTAAGGATTTATTGTTTTCCTTATTACTTAATTAATTAATATCTTTAAGATTTTTCAAATTTTATTTAGACTAATCAAGTTAGAATGAATATATTTTTTATAATAATTCAATTAAATGTTTTTTAGAGGAAAGATATATTATATAATCTTGAATTGACTTATATTTTCATCTATATTTTTTATTACTAAAAATATTTACCCACCAAAGAGTGTAATATTTCATGTGATTTTAAAATCTATTACAAAATTTAATATATTTTTTATATTTTAAGAAAATGCTAATATATTTCAGTGATTTGGTTGTAACCAAAAATATTGTTTGGCATGCAAAACTTCTCATCATAAGTATATGATACCTCAAATTAAATAATTTGATTACTAATTTTTGTCAGACTTAAATATAAAAATATTTATTATATGAAGATACAACATGTATTATTAATCTATTTTCCTTTGTAAAAAAATTATTTATGGCGGATTTCCTATGAAGAATACAATGGACCCATGCTTTGAAAAGAGTTGACTTCAACAAAGTTCAAAGAATTTTACACCAAATTCATTTATTTCCATCAGCTACAAGTTATATTCTATTGAGAAAGGGAGCAATACCATCATTTGTTGATATTCCTAAACATTTTCAAAATGCTGATTTCCTAGAATTGGGCCAGATTAATTCAAAAATACATGAATAATTTTTTTTATATAGAAATCAATCAAGCCACGGTGATCAAAAAAATCATCCATGTCAAATGTAAGCCTTGAAACATTAAACATTTTAAGTCCTGTATATGAATATCCTTTAATTAACAAGATTAATGAGGCTGAACATAATTATTTTGAAAGTTTTGGCACAATAAAATAAGAGGATCTATTATTAAAAATAGATTGACAAGAAAGATACAAAAAAAATTAAATATGGCCAAAAAAAAATAATTAATGAAAAAAAATAGAGAAATATTATGTTTAAAAGTCTGTAATTAAATCATTGAAAGATAAAGACATGATATATGGGTGAAGGTCAAGATATTGTCGAAGGATTATTTACAGGTCTCCCTTTTACATTTGTCAAAACTCAACTTGCCAGTGGTGGGAGTCAAAAATCCACGGGAAATTAAATATGAAAAAAATTTTAAACAATTTGCTTTCACTATATTATTTTTACTCTCCAAAAGATCTATCGTTTTTAAAGAGCAGTTGCTATTGCTGATATAAATAATGCTCCTGTTGCAATTGGAAAAGACTCCGACATTGCAATTCCATTGCCTAATTCCACATAACCATATTCTGTTTTATGTTATTTTATCTATAATGTGAGCGGTTTATGGATTTTGATTGGAGACGTTTAATTTTTTAAATAAAATAAAAGATATTAATAAGGCCTAATATTTGAATTGCAGCTCCAGTTTCTTAAAATGATTCAGATGGCTAACAAAAATGGCTCTTTAAAAACGATAAGCTTTCAGAGGGTAAAAAATATATAGCGGAAGCTATTCGTTTAAAATTTATTTAATATTTAATTTTCCGTGTGGATTTTTGACTCCACAACCGGCAAGTTGAGTTTTCACAAATGTAAGAGGGAGACCTGGTAATCCTTCGACAATATCTTGACCTACACCCATATATCATGTCTTTATCTTTCAATGATTTAATTACAGACTTTTAAACATAATATTTCTCTATTTTATTTTCATTAATTATTTTTTTTGGCCAAATTTAATTTTTTTTGTACCTTTCTTGTCAATCTATTTTTAATAATTAGAACCTCTTTTTTATTGTGTTAAAATTTTCAAAATAATTCTGTTCAGCCTTATTAGTCTTGCTAATTATAGGATATTCATATACAGAGCTTAAAATGCTTGATGTTTCAAAGGCTTACAATGGGCGTAGATGATATTTGTTGATCACCGTGGCTTGATTGATTTCTATATAAAAAAATGAATCATGTATTTTTGAATAAATCTGGCCCAATTCTAGAAAACTTACATGTTATAATTTATTGTCAGTTTTTATGTTACTTTTTGAAGATGTTTAGAAAAATCAAAAAGTGATGGTTATAACTTGTAGCTGTTGGAAATAAATGAATTTGGTGTAAAATTCTTTGAACTTAGTTGAAGTCAACTCTCTTCAAAGCATGGATCCATTGTATTCTTCATAGGAAATCTGCCATAAATAATTTTTTAACAAAATAAAATAGATTAATGCTATAAGTTGCATCTTCATATAATAAATATTTTTATATTTTAGTCTGACAAAAAAGAAATCAATTATTTAATTTGAGATATCATATACTTATGATAAAGAAGTTTTGCTTCCTGAACTATATTTTTGGTTACAGCCATATGCACTGCAATATATTACAATTTTGTAACAGATTTCAAAATCACATGAAAAATATTTAATTCAAAATGATAAAGTATTTTTACTATAAAATTAACTGGATAAAATTGATAATTCTGATATTATACTCTCTGGTAGGTAAATCTTTTAAGTAATAAAAAAAAATATAAATTAAAATATAAGTCATTTCAAGATTATATAATATATCTTTCCTCACTTTGATTTTTGTTATTTGAATATATAAACAAAAAAATATTAAATTAAATTCTTATAATAAAAATATTCATTCTAACTTGATTAGTCTTAAAACTAAATAAATTTGAAAAATCTTAAAGATATTCATCAAGTAATAAAGAAAACAATAAATCCTTACTTCTCTGAAAATTTTAAACAATATTCTTATTACTATACACTTTTTATTTTTATATTGATTAGATATAAAATCTTAAAAGATATTCATTAAGTAAAAAAAAATGCAAATATTAATAAAGAGCAAAAAATATTTAATTATATTCTTATCATCACTATAAAAAGTATTTATTCTTAATTAATTAGTCTAAATAAATCTTAATAGTATTCATCAAGTATTAAACATCACCGTTATTTGCTCTGTAAAATGTTAATAAAGAGAAGAATTTAATCATGTTCTTATCACTATAAACAGTATTTACGCTAACTTGATTACTCTAAATAAATCTTAAAGATATTCATTAAGCAATAATCAAGACAGTATTAACCATAATTTACTTGCTCTAAAAATGTTTTTTTTATTCATCTAGTAAAACGTATAATTAAATAATAATTTGGGATATAATATTTTTGTATTTATGTATTATAAATATAAAACATAATTAAAATATACCTGAAATTTATGAAATTTTCATATATTTCTTTGGTAATAGGTCCATACACAAAATGTTTCACTAGTCACTTCAAATTTGATTTTAGCATTGCGATCGGCTGTATATAGTATTAATGTCATTGATATATAAATCACCTGCAGGCCCGACCCTAAGCCTTATTAAAACCAGGATTGGCCGAAAATTTTTCGGGCAATAGGTACCTCTGCAGGTCTTTGATATATATATATATATTTTAAAAAAATGCATGAAAATAAAAGATTTTGGCATTTTTAGATAAAATTTGATCATAGATCTCTATTCGTTCTTCCTTTTCATTCAAACTCCTGTATTTACAAAGGAGTACTACTTTACAACGATCATCGTTCCAAACTCAAAGAAATTATTTTTTCAATCACAGAAATGAGCTGTTCAGATTTTGTACCGTTATTAATACAAATTTTATTTTAAAAAAAAAACCATATTTAAAAATATAACATAACCCCATATCTCCCATAACCTTTCCCATTTACATATCTAACTTGAAATTAACGCTCCACTTTAATTATTGGTATTTAAAAAGTTAAAAGCAAGAGTTTTCAAGGAAAATATAGTTAAATAATATGAAAAATAAATTCTAATTATGTTTTCCCCTAATTGAAAATGTGACAGGCAAATTATTATTTCTTAAAATAATATAATATATATTCTCCTAATTTCCTTGTAATGTTGGGAAAAATTAGATATGTCACTCCAATTCTCAGCCAAATATTATATACATAAAAAACGTAACTTTTAAGACGATACTTTCACAAAAATACATTAACATATTTGCCTAGCTCTTAGCTGTTTTTTTTATCTTAGTCCCTTAAATATCACAAATATGAAATTGACGTAATTAAGTAGTAGATTATGTGGTGAACGTCAAAGGTGGTATTTAAAATAAAAAGACTATAACCAAAGATCGTTTTTTTAACTGGATCTCCGGTCTTTCGACGTCTTCAGTCTAGAATTTTGACCTTCGCTAGGTTATTAGCATATCAAGATGTTAGAATAATGAGATAGAATAAAAAGATGATTTATTCATCATATAATATATATACCCTGTAATGCTTAAGAGTGTTCAGCCTTTTCCAGTTGCCCTCAACTTGAGATGTTTGGTCTTCGTCCTTGAGCATAAGTCTGCCGTGAACACCGGTTATCCATTCTTTAGATTAAGGTTTCGTGAAAAAAATAATATTTATAAGTTATTCTAAAAAAATTCAGCTAAAAAAGCCAAATTTTAGTCCTAATTCTTGCGTCATTCTAGCCCCCCCCTCCGTTAAGATTACTTTTTCACAATGTTGTAAACGAATGCGTTCAATTTTAAGAAAAAAAAGGGACTATTTTTTAATCAGCTGTTTCCTTTATCAAATTTGAATTTTTCTTTATAACCAGCCATTATTCTTGTCCTATACAATGATTTATTAATTTGAATATTTTTATTTATAGATTAGCGTAAGCTTGGATAATTGTTATTTCATCATCATTAAATGATTCTGAATTTTCACAATCAGATAAATTTACACATTAGCATGGCCCAAATATAATAAATACTTTACAGGTAACATCTAAACTAATTCTATCCTACCAAAAAGTATATAATATCAGTTTCAAAATCTTCAAGTTCTAATTTAAAGAGATACATTGATTGTAATATTTATTATTTGATATAATATAACAACTATAAGCATCCTACGAATAATATATTTTTAGATCGTTGTATTTCATAAACTTTTATTTATTTATTAAGTGTGATTATCTGAAAAATTTCGCTTATTATTTTAAGTTTTTATCAAGGGGTTTATAATTTTAGTATAGTTGAACATAATTTAAAAAGTATGACATAAATATTATATATATTTAAATTAATAATTAAATTTTATATGTCATATAAAAAGAAAGTTTTAAATATATTAAAAATTAACGAGAAATTTTTAATATACATTTTTTTTTATTTACTTAAAAACTATTTATTTTAAACATAGCTAATATATTGGGCTAAAAAATATATATTTATTAATTTATGTTAAAATAAATATTGAATAAAATTTCAAAAAAAATTATTCATAAAGTTACGAAAGAACGTGAACACGTTCGATTTTTGTCAAATGAACGCTAAACGCGTTCGATTTTTGTCAAATGAACGCTGAACGCGTTAGATAACGCTGAACGCTTTCGATTTTTTTAGAGATGTTTACAGCACTACTTTTTCATCTTCGTTCGAAACGGTCGGGAGAAAAAAAAATCGCGACGTTAAAATATAGGCAACAAATTGACAATACGCGTTTTAAAAGCTGTGATACTATTTTTTTTAAAAAATACTGAGCAAAGTGAATTAGAGTGTTTATAAATATTATAAGCTATATTTTGCAAATAAATGTTAGGCAATGTGAAACGATAACAATTATTAGTGAGGGGTGAAGACATATTACTTAAAAAATAAGTGGCAGATGTCACGAATAAGGATGATAAATTAAAAGGCTAAAACCGTACACACGGAAAGACCACATCATTAGGAATAAAGTAGATATTCCAATGAGCTTTAAATTACTACCAACTTTTTTCTAAAAAAAAATTAACTTTTTCTTTCAAAGAAAACACTAATCAGCTGTTCTAAATAACTCCCTCCAAAAAAAGTTTTTAATGGCGAATTTTGTCTCCTATCTTTTAAACATTTTGTGCGTTTTATGGAGATCGAACTAACCCCATAAACACAACGAACGATAAGAACAAACCTTTAATACTCTTAGAAAAAGTTATATATATATTTTTTTAGAGGTAAACCTAATTGCAAATCGTTCAAATCCGGTTTACAACTATCGGGCAAATTCTTGTAAGCCTGATCAAGGATTTTCTCCTTAACCTGAGTCACCGTATCCACGTCTAGAACTTTGACCATAAGTTCCATATCTTTGCAATGATCGAAATCAGAGGTTTCTTCTTGAACTGCAACCACGGCTCTAATAGACTTGATTGTATATTTTTTTTATTTTTAATATTAAATTGATTGACATGAGATAATAAACAAGATGGTTAAAATAGCTTAGTCACATAGATAACAATATAAAAAAAGTCATAATGTCTCAAAAAATGTGAACATTTAAAACGACATAGTGTTTTCTATATACATTTATTTTACAAATTTTTAGGAGGGCATATTTAAAAAAAAAGAAGTCCTTGTGGATATATAAAGAATACAAGTAGCGAAGAATTAATTTATCGACAAAAAAAAATTCACATTGTCAAGACGATTGAAATAAAATAAAAATGACAAAAATGGTATAAGAAAAAAGAAAGATGGTTAAAAAAAAAATTTTGCGCCAATAGAAAGTAGGGAGATTTTCGTTTTCGCTGGTGCGGGGAACAGGAGCATGATTATAAAAAAAAATATAATTTTACCAAAGTTTGGTATTCCACGTGGCAACGTAGCAGCTTTTCCTCGCTGAGAGAATACTTTGCCTCACTGGTGATTTGATCTATCGGACCTTTGTAGGCTTGTTGTTTTATGGCTCTGAACAGCAAGAATAAATGTTCGCCAGCACACTCCTAATAAAAATAGCAGAGTTGTTAAAAGATACTTTTTAAATGGATCTAGATACAGATACATCGTCTAAAATAATATCTAGATTACAGATAATTTAACCAAAAATCTATCTAGATACAGATACCACATTTTTATATCTAGATACAGGATCTTTAACAACTCTGAAAAATAGTAAATGAATGGATAACGTAATACATTTATTCTTGTTCCTTTTTTCAAATACAGAATTGTCCTCCTTCAATCTAGTTAGGATATCGGGGATACAATATTTTTGTCACCACGTATACGAAAAAATGGTGGCATCACGTGACTAAAAGGGTTATCCGAGATCAATGAAGGCCCACCCGTGAAGAATTTTAAAAATGGGGTTTTGGGCCCGATCCTAACCCCTCCCCCTCTTAACAGTTTATCGCGAAAGATAATTCATGAATAAAATATTTTAAAAATTTCAGGATGGCGCCATAGTTAGATAAAAATATTCGGCGCGGATTCTTTCCTTTCATGTTTATATAGATTTAAGTTTAACATTATATCGGACATGTCCATTCCTGTTTTTTTCCATTATCTAATTCATATATAAAAAGTGTGCCAAAACTAAATATATTGTTAGGGTCAAATGTGTTTTTTCCCTGCAAATGTATTATTTTTTTTTTACAACTTTAAAACTAAATCATATTTTGAGCGCCTTTTATTTTTAAAATTTAAAGAATCGGATTTTTACCGGAAATACTATTCTGTCATGTTTGGAAAGACATTAGCCTTTTAATCATTTATAATTTAGATTTAAAAAAAAATATATAAGTTTAAAAGTTGACGGAAAAAATTGTTCGAAATTCATAAGAGTTAAAGTATTCTAAACATGCTTAAAATACATTTCCGGTAAAATAAAAAACGATTTTGAAAGTTGAAAAAAATAAAATAACAAATTGCAGGAAAAAAAACAGATTTGGTAGTGCGTACAAATTGAACGTTTCAACGCGGCGTTTTAAAACGCATATCAATAATTTAAAATACAAAACGCAAACGTGCTCAAATTAAACGAATGCAATTAAAATGCATTATTTGCGTTTTGAAACGCGGCTTTGAACTGTTCAATTTGTGCGCACTATGACTAAAAACTACGATAAACAAGTAGTGTTGTTAAACGGCGCCAACTCAATATTTTATCACGAAAGATATTATGCGAGCTTTCAGATTTTGGTTCATAGGTGGCACAAAGGTTTGAACATCTGTTAACGAAATCCTCGAGGCTTAGTCAATATTTTTTCTAGCCAAAATATTGAGTCAGCTGTTTTTAAAAATCGACTTCAAATCGAGCCTTTTTAATCACACTTAAAACACAGAAATAAAAAATTAAGTTAATCTATAGGATAAAACAAAGACCTCAAAAAAAAGATTAATTTTTTTTTGTATGAAAGAGAAATTTATTTTTTCCCCCTTTTACCGTAATATTTCAAAATCTTTTCGTTTCTCCCGGTATAAATTTTAAAAAAAAAATTTTTTCTTCCTTTCTTCCCTTAACGATATACGCGATCTCATTACATATATATATTTATTACTTTCAAGAAGCGATAAAGCAAAAAGGTGAACCATGCAGTCAGCATCTTTTCGGCAACCGATTCCGTTCTTCTGAGAAGCAATTTAGGGTGGCTATTACCTTCCATCGATTTTTCTATGAGCTCCGAAAGAAGAGTCTTGAGGATACTAAAATTATTTATTTATTTTTTTAAAAAATAAATTAAACTAAATATTGCATTGGGCTCAAAAATGTTTTATAAAATCGGAATGTAAAATGATATTTAAAGTTCTTTATTAAAATTATTAGGGAACTGGGAAAGAAATTCATCTTTAGGGAAATTTTTGACGGATACTGTCGTTGTAACCGGCATTAGTTTATTTAAGGTTTGACTACAAATCTCTGCCTTCTTGGGATTTCAATTATAAAAGTAATTATATATTTATAATTCGAATTGATACAAAAAAATGCTGAATCTGAAGAAAACCGAAGCAAACCAAGCAAAAATTATAACGAGTTAGTTAAATCGGTTAATTTTTCGTATACTCGGTGCAGTAATCCATCTTTCCCTGTAGCGCCACCATTATGAGGGAGGCCACGTTGACCCGGTCCTTCATGGAGAAGTACCGGTCTCTCTCGAGCGTCTTGATGAAAACTAGCAGGAAGGTCTTGAAGCACAGCAGTTGTTCGAATAATTTGAGGCCCTTTTCGACTTTGGATTTGTGGGCCGAAGGTTCGAGCTGTTTGGCATAAAGAATAGTATATCTTTATTTTATTTATTTTTTAAAACTATAATTTGTCGAAATCTTTCACTCAAAAATATTTCGGTAAAATTTTTATTACCCGTGAACCGGATGTAGATAAGATGGGGGCCACAATAATTTAATATAAAAAGGAATAGAAAATTATTAATACCTTTAGGGTATCGTGTAAGATAGGATGATCCGATATGTTAGGGAAGAGCACCTTCATGCAATATTCCCTGTATTCCAGGAAGGGGATTCCGCCGACATTGCTGAATTCGTTGGTTATTTCCGTCATATCAGTTTGTAACTCGGCGAATGCTTCAAGATCGACCAAAAAAATTTTATACGTGGTATTATATAATTGGTAAAATTAATACCCCTATCGATCCCCAATAAAATTAGACTATCCTCTAAAAACCAACTAGTTGCTTCTATCCAACCATTTATGCGCCTCTTAACTTGCAGGCTTGTGGGGGGGGGGGGGGCTAAATGAATAGGAAATAAATTTTTATATACCTGCTTTGCACTCCTGCGCCACCTGAAGTTCTAAAATATTCATTTGCTCCCTCATATTCTTTAGGGCTCGACTATTTCGATCCGATTTTCTGCGATAGAAAACGAATATGGAAAGCGTCAGGCCGGTTAAGGAGAGAACCGCCATTACTATAGCCGCTAAGCCCCATCCACTGATGGGTCGGTTGAAATTGGCAGGCCCGGCTTGAAGATCGTTATATTTCAGGTAACCCACGTCAGAGATCAAGTTTTTGCGGGCTCCGACAGTTACCTACGTGGAGGGATAAAAAAAAATTAAGTTTGTTTTCAAGGACATAATCGTATTTTAGACCTCCTTTCTACTATACAATCCATCATTCAACCTAATAATTCATCTAATATACTTTATATGAGAATTTACTCACTTCAATCATGTCAGACGCCATTTAATCGTTAAAAAACATCAAAGGGCATTAAATAAATACTTTTCCCCCCTTCAAATTCACTTGAAATGGAGGGAGGATTATGAAGAATAAAAAAAATGTTAAAATTATAAGAGGTTACATTAACCATAAAAATAGAATCTTCTTATCAACTTTACCAACTCACCCTGATCAAAAAGGTATCCGTAGGACCATGATCCGTTTTAACCCGGTTTTCGATGCCTCCGTTACCGGAAAGAAGGGAACTTTCGCTGGCGCGTCTGGAGCGGTATATGAACTCACGAACCAAAGCGGGGGAAGGTGGTTGACAGGTAAGCGAACTCGAGTTCATCGAGACTATTCGGCAAAGCATACTGGCAGATACCGGACCGGTTTTAGTTTCGGATAAAGCCTAACACGCAAATACATTTATATTACAAATTTCCCTGTCATTTGTATTTTACTCGAAATCATGGTAATCACATTTTTGCGGTAACTTTGTAGAGGTGTTGGTGAGAGTTTATAAAACCAATTTTTTCAAATTTTAATAAATAATAAAAAGGTAGTATACACTTGATGCTCATGCTATAATTTTAAGTGTATGTTTTAACAAAAAAAATTTATTTACACAATTAGAATTAGAATATTTGAGATAGTGCGAACAAATTGAGCGTTTGAAACGCCAATAATGCCTTTCAAATGGCCTAGTGCAAATTGGTGAAATTACCCTTTGAGCGTTAGCTGCCATTTAAAAAAAACGCAAACAGGTTTGCTATTTGATTACTTGTTTTTTATTCTTCGTTTTGTAACATTATGTAAAAATGTTAATATAAATAACTTACTTATAATCCTAAAAAAAAAGGAATATTTAGAAAATTAAAGAAATAAGAATGCAGACGATAATATAATTTTCAAAGACAAATCACGTGTTTTTAGAACTTATTTACAATTTTGATCGACGGATATTAATAAAAAGATAACCTCAATTGAAACATGGGACGCGTCACGCTCAATTTGGGCGCACTATAACATAACTTGATTAATATTCTCAAATTTTTTTTATTAATAATTTACTGGTCGTAAACATAAGTTCCAACTTTAAAAAAAATAAAATAATAATATATTCCTTATATATAAGAATAAAATTACGATATTCCATATTAACTATATAAATAACTGCTTCATAAAACACAATTAATATTTAACAGTTATAAAAAATATAAGATTCGGAAAATAATAAAACCGGTATCCGATCCGAAACTGGTATTAATTGAATAGCAAAATCCGGAGTTTTGCAGGCCTCGGGGTAGCAACTTATGTCGGCCATGATGGTAATAGAAAACGCGTTTTCAGTTGGCAGAGATGACAAGGCGGCAACAGCCTCGTCCGAATATTTCACGAGTTGATTGGGAACGGCTAGTAAATCGAATCTAGGATCAGGATAAATTCCGTACCCAGTTTCGAGGCCGGATTTGCCGGATAATTTTGTCGGGTTTTCCGGATAGTACAGGGCGTTGTCGAAGACCAGAGAGAATGGCACGGGTATAGGTTGAACCATCGATGTATCAGAAGCCAGCACCTGTTATATTTTTTCAAATTAGCACATTTATGAATGTTTCTCAAATATGATCTCTTAATTATTCATCTAAAATATCTTCACTCAAATTTGAGCGATAGTTTTGCAAGTTTTTAAACGTATTTATAATACGTTTATATAATTACTATGGTAAATATATATTATAATATGCAATTTTAGAAAGAAAGATGGCCAATAAGAGTTCTTATTGGTGGCCTTTTATATTTTTTCTTTTGGCAAGATACGAAAATTTATGTCTTTCGTATAAAATTTATTCTAATTTTAATAATTCACAATTTAGAAAAAGAAGAGTTTATGAAGATTATTATGACATCATATTTAGCGACAATAAATACCCGTGGAGCCAGGCATGTCATGAGGATGTCGGAACGAATAACGCAAGACTCTGTCAGATTAATGTACGGGTTACTAAGTGTTATCATAAAGAGCGCTTCTTGGATATTGTTAAAGCGAGCCCCTTCGACGGTAATGGTGGTTCCACCACTGTTTTTTTTAGAAAAAAGGAATTAAGAATTATTTAGGTATTTTAAATGACAATTTAAGCCATCTTTGGGATATTATATTACGATTATAAATTGTACCTCAAAATGCCGGCAGGTGATGTAACGGAGTCCAACTTAGGGTTTTCCACGTATTCAAACATCAAGGGCTTCCCATTTTCATTTCCGAATCTACTTCGCTCATTTCCGGAGTCAGGATTTTCTTTAATCGCGTCAAAATAGTGAGCCTCCTTGAAGTTTCCATCGACGCCGAAGAGAACCGGGCCGGAACTTGATTTATTTGTAATTTGTGGATTTAAAAAAAATGTATTTCAAATTGATGACACTCGCTCTTTATATTTAAAAAAAAATTTCTCGTCGTATCTAGAGGAGGAATATCTCCACTTTCTCGTATGATAGAAGTGCCTAAATACAATCCTTATCTTTTCAAAGCCGACAAATAAACCTCGATTCGCCATCTTTAATTCCGTTCTTGTCGCTTCCTATTTGATCTCCAATTTGTTGGGAAAATGGCAAGGAGAGGCACACTGCCTCGACCTCTGTTCTGGATATTACTACGCAGGCCTTGCCGGCTAGACGCGCGTGTGCCGTATTCCCCGCATCAAGATGGCGTCCGATTAGGCGCACTCTTGTTCGTCCAGCTTTGGTGGCCCGGGATGGATAAATATCAGTCACGGCGAAGTTCTGGATAGGAGGTATAAAAATAGTAGATAAATAAGATAACCTATTTTGCGTTTTTTTCAAATTTTTTTTAAAAAAAATTTGCGTTAAAAGGCAAAATAGTGTGTTTTACAAACTTTTGGTCAAATGGCCACTTCAATAACAACGAAGCAGTATTTAAAAAAATAAAACGTGAAACTCCTGTTCAATATGCAAATCACTATTACATTAATTATGTAACAATTTCAAATAATTTAATCACCCCTTTGTCATGCAAGGGATACACCGTCTCGATACCTTGAACGCGCAGAGGCTGCTTATCAGAATTCTAACAAGTACCACCCTTTCCACCCGTATATTTTATAAATGTCGTTTTTTTCACGGCACATAAATATCGTAACCCCGACAAAAACTTTAAAATGAAAGATGCCATTCCAACACTCTCGAATTAATATAAATAATATAAGCAACAGTTGAATCAACCCAATATCAGCCTCTTCCAGTCTCCATATGGCTCAGGATTAGAGTTGCATCTATTTAACAGCGTCATCTTATAATTAGAATGAGTCCGAAGTAAAAAACAAAATATGCTGACAAAAACAGTTCAACTTATTCCATTAGACGCCAATATTCTTCTCGGTTTGGTGATGAATTAGTCAATCATGTGACAAATGTAACGATATCTTCCTACACCCCCCCCCCTCAAATAAGAAATTACAATTGCCATGCTATCTACTAGTATTGAATCCCTTATATATATTTCTATAAAAATAATCAGATTTTTGGGATTGGAACCCTCTTTTAAAAATGGAAGAGAATTGTAATCTTAGAAATATAGAAGAACCGATTAACAAACGCGCGAGTAATATTATTTGAGTCTTGGTGTGATTCACTTAAGAGGATTTATTTATTGTTTGAATTTTTTTTTTGAAAGCTAGAATAATTAAAACCGGATTAAATTTAAAAAGTGCAAAAATTTCTAATATAATTTGTGTTTAAAAAGAATTATTTGTAAAGGTTACATGAATTTAAAATATATTAAAAAAACTTACCACAAACTTAAAATCCGCTTTACTAACTGCCGGATATCTACCGACTCGAAATCGAACGGGTCCCGAGGTTTCGTTTCCGCTCCGTTCCAATACGCATGTGACGCGACGAGTGGGGAGGAAAGAGGAAAGCACGGGTATACAAGCTACCCCAGCCACAGTTATTCCTTGCGTGAAGTGTGCAAGGGACCGGGGAAGGTTAAGGCCATTTATAGTTAGTTCAGTACCCCCTTCCATGGGTGCGCTTGATGGCGAGAACTAGAATTGAAAGAAGGGAATATATAATGGACAGATGAATGTTATCGAATATATAAAGTATCAGGTGCACACCCTTTAATTAGGCTCAGTATAAAAAAAAGTGATAAAGGTGCACCCTAATAACCCCCTTAAAGTAGTTATCCATAACAAAATAAATTATTAATACAGATATTATAATTGGGCCCGGGCAAGTGTCATTGACTCTATCGAGTGACGTGAGAGTAGACGATCTTTCCTCACAAATGTCTTTCAAGCTGCACACTTCCATGAGTGCACCAATGCACCATGAACATCTAAGATTGGCTGGCAAAAGGGAACAAGCGCCACAGTCACCTGCCAATGAGGAGCAATTATACACGTCGATACTATTGGCTAATTTCGGGAGAGAGCTCTCATTGTTCGAATATGACACGGTTGAAAGGGGGTCTGGCCAATAAGGACCATCCAGAAGACGTGCATGAGCGGTACCGCCCCAGGATACGGCCAATCGCAGCGAGGAAGTAGTATCGCTTGTTACTTGTGCACTGGCTGAACAGGTGATCTATAAATAATTTATTAAATACGAAATTTTAATCGATTTTTAGTAATTTTAATTGTTCTTTCCCCTCTCCTATCTCTATTTCCGATATCAATTAAATTAAAATACTATACAAACTTGTTCATAACCAGGCGGATTATTAGTGAACACTGCGGTGGCATAGAATGTTCGCCCAGTGCGCGTAGCGATGAAATGACAAGCCAAATCTGTCATAAACGGCTGAAGACTAAAGGCACGCATGCGTAGGCTAAAAGGGCGTGAGGCGTGAACTTTGAATGAACGCTCGTAATCGCGACCATCTTGATAGTATTATATTTAATTACTTATTATCTTCGATTTCAACATAAATTGCAATGACATATCCTAATATTTATCTTACAATCAAGTCTAGGATAAAAAAAACAAAAAATTCTCAGCTCTATCGTTAATAGATTGTGAATATCATCTAATTGTTACATTTTTATTATTTTTATAATTTTAATCAGTTACAATGTTATCCATTTTACAGATATAATTGGGGTTTATGTATTTTAATTATATAGATGAAACGACAAAGGACAAATATGTAATTATAAGCTTATTAAATTGTTATCATACATGACATATGTTATTAGACCTGCGCTAGGTTCCTTAGTGATGACCAAATGGTCACTTCCCTCTACGGCGAAATCGGAATAATCTTCAAAGGCGTCGATTGACTGTTCGTCCTCCATGATTTCAAGTCTGGGGCAGAAGGAACTTCCGGCCCTTGACGTGGCACCTTTGCCCTGATAATAATGTAAAAGGTTATCATATATTTATTAGCAGATATATGAAACCCTTCTAAATAATCAAATTTAGAATAATTACTAAGACTGAGGAACAAATATGATTAACTTTCTTTTTAGATATCTAACAAAAAAAAGGTATTTACAGAACCAAGCACTGTATGAATTTAGTTCAGACCAAAAATTACCGCAAGTCCGTTTACAAGGAAATCATTCCGACAATCCCCACCAGCGTCGTGCGTGCAAGCGTTCTTTTCAACGCACCAATGACATGCGAATCGCGGCGATGAGACGCAACCACTACAAGAGGTCAACGCACCGCAGTTGTACGCTATGATGGAAGTTTCCGTTATGGGATTGACGTCATCATCACCTACGGATATTTAGAGAAAAAAATTATGATCGTGAAGGTTCAAAATGTAAATTATTTTTTTCCAATTTATACCTAAAATGGCGACCGTCACGATATAGAAGTGGCGGCCCTCAGCATTAGCTGGTAACAAGGGAGTGCGGCACCCCAATGTCTGGCCCGATTCGACCCCCGTAGGCAATGGTAGCGATTTTGCCTTAGCCCGTATGTTAAATCCGTCAGACGTAAATAAGCAATGGTAGACGAGCGATAAAGGTCGAGGAAAGTAATTAAGCACTAAACGTATCTATAAGAGTGGGATGGCAGGTGATTAGTAATAAAATTTGAGTGAAATAAAATATAAGACTTTTTTTATTTACCGAATAATTTCATAATTAAAAATAATCGCTGACAAATAAGAATAATATAATATAAGTTGGGATTTAGAAAAAGATTTATAATCAAATGTAATATTAGTAATTCTTTTTAAAAAATCTTATATTCTTCGTGTCCAAAGTCCAAACTAAAATCTGAATAAAGAAAAAATAATTAATAACGTTTCTCCTAGTGGTGGATTGTATCTGGTCGGGTTCTATCCACGTAACCTCGCTGCAACGGCCAGTGTCGAAAGGCAGCCAATCAGCTTCGGACGAAGGGTTTGGTGAATCTAAATGCTGCCGCGAAGCCGGGTCCAAATTAAAATGAGGAGCGGATTGGCAAGCCGTTTTGTTTTTGCATCTTAATTTAAAAAAATTCAGAATTCATCAATATTATATTATTTAATGAAACAATTGGAAAAAATGCATGCCAGGATTCGATCATTTCTTGCATTACATTATTATCTTGTGGCACATTCATGATATATTTATTTTGAAGAGTACAAGAATTACATTATTATCTTGTGGCACATTCATGATATATTTATTTTGAAGAGTACAAGAATCAGAAATTTAATTTAAAACTGCTAAAAAACGTAAAAAAAACAAAACCTTTTGTCCAAGTGACACCAACCGCAATACGGATTTTTGGCGCCCAGACAACTCTTGCAATTCGTATAGGCTTCGCAATTGTCGATACTGATTTGGTAAATCTGCGGGGGAAAAAAAATATAAACATTTTAAAAAAATAAAATTTTATTAGTTGGAATGAGTTAGAGACTCCCCCCCCCTCTCTTATCTTAATAAATTGGGCAAAATATGGTTGGAGCTATGAAGAAAAAGATCATTCACGTAAAATCACGTGACTTACTTGACCCACAATTTTACCTTATACGCAATTCTAGAATGCGGTACTAATTAATATCTCTTGTCTCAATAAAAATAATTATCCCTGAATATTTAAAAATGAAATAAACGAAACCGGAAACGAATATATTGTTGACCACTTTACATAGTCGGCAACCAACTCGTTCGTCTTAGTCTTTTTTAAGAAAAGACGACTGTCAATCATTTTTTTAAAATTTTTTTTTATATATAATGCCAAAAATACCTTTTGACGACGTTAATGAAAAATAACGAGTACACGTGAAATTATGAGTCAACCCTTAAATATTCAAAGAATGTTTCTATGTTCCGAATATTATATATTTTTTTAATGTTATTAATAAGATTTTTTTAAACATTTTTATTGGTAATGTAGGGTAAATGATTGACATTTAAATCAGATGGGAGAGATTTCGGGAAAGCGAAAAAATTCCCGTTTCCGGTTATAAAAAAAGAAGATTGCTTCAAATCGCCAATCATTTTTTTTTAAATTGGCGAAAGTCAAAATAATAGGAAATAGGCATTCAAAAAATATTATTTTAAAGAAAAAAAATGGTGAGAAATGTGTTTTGGCCTCTACACACTAAACCGTATAAAAAGATGGTCTTCTTGTCTAACGTCACGTGATCCTATAAATGGCGCTGGCTAGATGAATCTATTTCCTATATAGGATTTCCAAAGAAATGTTCTTTATATCCCTGCCATTTCAATCGCATAGGAATAAAAGAATTCAAGTTATTTAAGGGAGTTCTTTTTTCTTTATTTCTTTCTCATTCATTTATTCATTCTATCTTTCTTTATTTCTTTCATTCATTCTTTCTTACTAGGCTGGCCAGTAGCCTAAATTTATATTTTATAAAAAAAATTGATGCCTAAGACAATTCCTGGTATCACATAGTTTATGGATAATTTTTGTACTTATTTTTTTAAGAAGGTAAATTTTAAGGGCGATTCATCAGATGTTATAAAAGGTACAAAAAAATTCTTAAGACAACTTCAAAAATTTAGGTGTATCTTAAGATTCCGTCTTAGTCGCATTTTCTTTAGCTAAGCATATCACATAAATCATAGTAACCTTATCGGGAGTGACCGCGTAAAGCGTGGTACTAGTGCGGTCCATGAGAATAGGATCCAAGATGGGCAAAAAATTGTCGGAAACACGTAAAACAGAGTAAAGATAGGCAGATGTGGTAGAAGCGAGCCAGAGACTAAATAACCTTCCATCGGAGGTTGACAGGTATACTACCTATGTTATATTGTGCATATAATATTTTTTTAATAAAAATTCTATAACTAATTGTTTTTATTAAGGTACCGTGTATCCGTAAACGTTAGAAGTAACTATGGAAGTAACGCGCAGTCTATTTTCGACAGTGTTCCAATTCAGCAAATGAGATTTCAACGAGGAGTCGGGACAGTCGAGCGTCAGCGCGTGACTAGTGACGTATTGTTTGGAAGCTGTTTGGTTCTGGTATAGCGTATCAAAAACGAAATAATAATTTCAAGTAGAGTGATAAACACAACCCAGACTTATTTGTTGGGGATAGTGCGTCCCCAAAGAGACTATAATATTGTTTAGGAATTACGTCGTCTCCGCACCCTAAAAGCGCTAACTTTGAACGGGATGCGCGCCAACAAAAGAAAATATGTGTGACGTCTAATTCTTAAAAAAAAGTATAAACAAGAGCTTTGCAGGAACCTGCTCAGTTCTGATCAAATTTGGATAGGTGAGACTTGGTAAAACAATTTATAGGGCTCTTAGATTATTTTGTTTTGATAATGCTTTTTAATATATTTTTTTCAATTAAAAACACCCAATTTTTATCTTCCCTCTGAGGACTCGTTTATATTAAGCGAAATACCGCTAAATCGTTCTAGCGATTCTCTCAATTTATCGCTGAAAAATAGCATAGCTGTACAATTCCACTGTTTACCTTGTAAATCGTGCATCGCTTCGCTTAAGCGATATCGCGCTTACTATAAACGAAGCCTAACGCTTATTTTCCCGCACCCCACCCGCTTCCACCCCTGCGTTTCTTGAAAAAAAAAATTGTAATTTTTCCTCATGCTTTCAGCATTAGGATGAGACATTTCCTAACATAGGAGTTCGAATTAGATTCAAATCTTTGAAGAAGAAGAAAAAAATAATATCAGTTTATAGAAACAAAATTTGTTACATTTTAATAGCCCGATTATTGACTAAAGAGATTTTTTTAAAAAAAATTACGTTAAGGTAAAAAAATATGACATTTTTTTAAAAAATAATTATTTTATTATCAGTCTAATCGACTTCTTCAAACAGAAACAAGCTATAAAATAAATTGTCATCTCTGTATTCCCCTTTCTTCACTCCAATTTGACTTGTAATTTATTATGCGAAAAATATCTAACGGGGTTAAAAAGGACCCGGACCAAAATGGACCAAGCGATGCAGGGGCGTGTGGAATGAGCCGAGATTTTAAGTAGGAATTACGCGTCTAATCGAGGGATCAAATTAGGCGGTATGGAATGTCGTTAAAAATAAAGGAACATTTATTACCTATAATTAAAGATGAGTAAAATTTGAATAAATTTTAAAAAATGTGAGACTAATAAATTTAATATTATGACTTACAATGATGACGCGCCTATTAAAATTGGGTAAAATCTTTTGATAAAATAAATTTTTTTTATTAGGTAATTCTTAATATAATAAGACTAGATAATTTATCTAAAATTCTTTTATTTTATTTTCCTTGGTGATTCAAATGGTTTCTTCTTTTTAAATAATTATGGGGATCGGTTTAATGGTGACATGTCGTAAAAGACGATTATTTTGAAAGTATGTCTTCCATTTTCTTTTTTTTCACGTGATCTTAGATTTGGTAAGAAGAAAAAAATTGCAAATGGCTTTGGGGCAGGTATATTTTATAGATTTTAACTAACCCAATAATTTGCAAAATAAAATCCAGGATTTGAAACAGGAAATATCGCAACTTGGATAAATTTAAAAACCGGATATTGAACCCCTTTCAATTTTATTAAAAAAATGGAGCCGAGGCGGCGACATCGAGAACACGCAAGGCAAAAACGCGCCTTTTTTAAGATTTAATGCAATATGCCGATTCAACAAATTCCGCAAGCTTTGTGAGACCCAAAAATCCAGAAATTAATGAGTCAAGATTTTTTTTTGGTGTTACTAAATATTAATAACATCTTATGCGTGAAAAAAAATATTTCTTTTTTCTATCTTAATGATAAAATTTCGCGTTATATTTTACATGTTAATTACATAAATCTAACATCTACTTAAAACCATCTCTTATAGCCCACCCTAAATTCTCGTCTGCTTTCTAATTAGATTATCTGAAAAAAACATCGCTTTCGTCACTCTAGACCCTCAAATTCATCTAAGACTAGTATTAGGGCATATCTCTCAACCTTTAGGGTCAGGGGTACTCTTAGTGAGATCCCTATTTAAGCGTATCGAGTATTCGTTACGCTTATTTTCGAAGGGTGGGTAGAGAGTAGATTGAATTTTGTTTAAAAAAAATTAGGTTTGGACATCAATGACATTTTAATATTTATCTTGATTGACAATTATCTCGTTAAAATATATTTCAAAGGGGTCATTGAAATAAGGAAACGACAAGCCATTCTGGTTTTTATAAAAATTTATTCATTGGAAATCAAAATGGCGTGTCACCATCTGATTTGTAATGATGCCCATTTATAATGAATGAGTAGTCGGTGGTAATATTATATGTCCTTGGTTTGGACGTCGCCTAAACTAATATAGTGGGTTTCTACGTTAAGAGTCAAATATATTGGTAATTTATTAATTTTAAATAAGGAGTAATTTAAGAAGCTAATATTAGGATATATTTATCACCCTTTGGGGTTAGGAGTACTCTTAGTTCTTCTAAGAGTTGAGACAGCTGATTTGTTAATAGTAATATAGGTTATATATATATAATAGTTTATATAGCATGTCAAACCGTGGCAGAGATGGTAGATTCGTGAGCCCTGGTTATCTCGCTAAGTAAATAAATGCAAATCACAGGGCCGTCCGTCGCCTGATAATCGCTCGTCCGATTTGTGTTTTCGCTATGGGCAAAAGTAGCGATTAAAATCTCCGGTCGGTTGTCTCCTACCGACCTGTAGGCTGCAGTTACCGTTCCGGTTTCATATACCGGATAAATGGATTCCGTTTTGATTATCTTTTTCCGACATTCAAGTCCGATCTCGGAGTAATGTAAATTGGGGCCTGTGATGCGTATGCCAGCAATTAATGATTCCTTAATAGAAGAGACGGATGTGGTACGTGTGGCGATGAGGTATGCTTGCTGGGGTGTGGAGTAACCGGAAACAAAATTCGTGAAGGTATCACTTCCCTCTTTAGGGTTAACCGGGAGAGCTGATTGGCCAGTTAATGGACGGTAAGCAAAGTGGAAGAGCCGATGGGGAGGCGCTAAGGCGTAGTTGGCCAGGTAATGGGTTTTCCCTGAGGTTGTGCTCCCTTTTGAATCGATTTGGGGATAGGTGAAGCATCCAATAACTAGGTAATGGGGCGGTGCCAGGAGTGCCACGACCCCATTGGATTCTCCATCCCTATTCCATAACCTACCCGGACCTAAATTATTGCGAGAGGAAGTAACGGGAACTTTTCCGGGGAACACGGTACTCGGGTAAACGTGTGCCTGGTCGTTATAGATACGCACGTGTGAAGCGGAAAGAGTGATTGAATCTCGTACGGCGCATGCGCCCAAGTATGAGGTTCTACAGTCTATTAAGAATTTGCGCGTCGAGTCGTAAAGTAACGCCTGACTGTATGAGGGATCGGCATGCGATGAGTGCGGACGTTGACATTCTGAGAGATTTGAACTTTTTTTGAGATGAGAAAAAATATTTGTTCATTTTTAATGAGCTAATTTATATATAATTTTTTGCTCCATCTTATTTCGAGATAATTTAATGATTTTTTTTAAAAAAACAAACAAATAAATCATGATAAAAAAATTGACTCCTACCATAAAACTATAAAGACAAACATTATTTTTTTCTTTTCATGATTTTAAAATAAAAAAATTGTAAACAATCTAATTTTTTAAAAATAATATTTTCGCTTTCTTCCTTTATTTCATTCTTTCTTCCATTCTTTCTTTCTATCTTTATTTCACTTCAAGATATTTAAATGGATGTAAATCATTTATAAATCATAATATCATCTTTTTTCAGGTTACTTATAGAGGAGATGGGGGTCACCTGAAATGGGAGAGTAGAATAATATGAATGACTAATTAGTCTACTCTACACCATTGAGATATAATAATACCTAGACTGACGATGCATTTATAATAATGCATTTGGAAGCGTCGTTGAATGCAAAATCAGCTGGACCCGCCATTTTGGTAATCCATATAGTAAATATTGTTATGTTAAAATCTATTGTTAAATTGACAACTTGCTTCCTTATTATCTCGATGATCAAACAATTCTTTAATAAAGCTTGCGTCCGACATAGGAATAAATTGGCCATTCGTTTAAAATTTTTTAACAATGATATGGGTAATAAAATGGCGTCCCAAGGTGTTTTCATCGATGTAGACTTTTAATGAATGTGTCGTCAGTCTAGGTATTATTATATGTCATTGGTCTATAGCTAAACTTTATTGTAAATATAATAGCCACCATTTTGAAATCGGGTAAAAAGAAATGACGGACAAAAAGTGTATGGTCATTTACCAAAGAAATCCGGCCAATCATAGTGATCAAATAAAAGCAAATTCGATTTCCTGAACTTTACCAAAGATTGATTAATTAAGGATGTGTTTTAAAAAGAACAAAAAAAATATAAGCTATAACAAGATGGCAGAAATTTAATTACGTAGATTTTGTATATGCATTTCTCAGTTCGCTCCTCACTAAAAATTTAAATTTTTCAAAAAAGACATATCTTTCTAGTTTTCTAGGAAAATTTCCTCATATTTTCGAGCTTGAGCAAAAAATTTATACGCTCGCAAAAAAAAACGTTAAATAAAGATGCGAGTCATTGAAGAGTATTTTAGGGTCTCTTCATCAATTTTCATAAATAAATTATACTAAATAGTTTTTACTCATTGGCGGGTTCCGAAGATGGGGCCAATAGATTTTCGCGTCGCAACAAGGTGATGTCGGGTAGAGCGTTCGAGCATATGGCCCTATTATTATGAGGGTTTAGACCGGTTCGCAGGATAACTAGAGGTTCGAGCTTTCCCGAGAGTCTAAACAGGTGATTGACGGAGGCCAGATAGATGTCACCTTTATCGATTGATTGAATATATTTATATATGGTATATTAAATAGAGGTTAAATAGATATGCATTAAACTGAATCGCGAACCAGGTTCAAAATTGTGTCCAGAGAGCTTATAAAATAAAATTAGGACACTATCGTGAAAAATCATTGGACACTCATTCTAGATGACAGTTATAATTAAAAATTAAATGAAGATACGTTTGCCCCCTCCCAAAAAAAAATTTCCCGCCCTTTTTAAGGTCCTAATATAGATTACACTGCGCTTGCTTAGAGTTGTCGGGTAAAAAAATAATCTTCTTAATTATCGTTATAATATATAATCTGAGATAGGGACCTAAAATAATTATTGTTATTTTTTTTCAAAATATAGATCATTCTTTAAAATATTTTTCATAAATATACCCGATTAAAATTTTTAAGCGAAAGCTGTGTTGAGCCCTATTGGCTCATGTTTATCTGATCAAAATGTTTAAAATCAATCAATATAATATTTAGTAATATTTTAAGTAAAGGTAACGCGTTCCTTTTTTCAATGTAAGAGTAACGCGTTTTGAAGGAACGTTTACTGCACTAGCAATTAGTATGCTAGTTTTTTTTAGAGTAACTAATAATTAGTATGCTAATTACTTAAGTAATAATTAGAAGATAAATTTATTTTTAAAAAAAAATGACTAATTGCATTTATTAATTAATTTATGTGAACAGGATATCGAAATATTCTTTTTTTAAATCAGATTTGTACCTTACGTGGACCTATCAGATGAGTAGGTCTGATTGGACCTTAATTTTAGCATTAATTTATGTTTTCGTCTGCTTTTATAAATATTCACTTCCCTGAGGAAAATAAAAAGTATACCATTAATTTGTTTTCGTCTGCTTTTATAAATATTCTTTTTCCGAAGAAAATAAAAAGTACACCATTTTATTTTTACATTTTGCTTTTAGCGTTTACAATTTTTCCGCCTTCGAAAATCTTATCCCTTCTTTGTTCCAATTATTTTTCTTTTATTTATTATTAAAGATCTAATAAGTTGAATAAATTAAATAAAGGAATGGTAATTTATTCTTGGAGACGTTTATATACGCGTGAACACGTGGTCGAGACATGACAAATTTTAATAATTGTTTTTAAAAGGATTAATTTTTTGTGTCTTCTTATTTTTTGATATTTCAATTTATTATCATTATTTTAACCCAACCCCCCCCCCCTCCCCACCTAAATTCTAAGTATGCATTACATATATCGAGAAAAAAATGAATTGAATCTTTAAGTGACAAGATAGATAGCTGTCATTGTTGATATTCCATCTTTAACACATTGTTTTTTGCTACTTAATATAATTTACGTATTTTTTTTTAAAAAACAATAGTTTTTTTTATGTTCTTATAATAATGTAATTTTTAAGTATGGTAAATGTTTTTGTATTGTTAAAAATAACTAAAACATTTTACAAGAGGAGAAATATAGGGGAAATTGGGAATAGGAAATTATTCAATTATAAATACAATATGTAATAATAACCATATTCGTGAATCGTAACTATTGTTTTTTAAAGAAGAAATATCAACCAATGAAATGTCGATTTATAAGCTTCAACTCAACCCGCACCATTGTAGGTTATGCTTATTCAAAAATAAATGCGATTAAAAATAAATAGTAAATTGTTAATTTTATTCGTATACGAATAAGTTTATTTTGTTTTTTTAAATATTAATAAAATTGAACAATTTTTTTATTTATTTAGTGGAATACTTTGTTAAACATTTTGAAAACTTTTTCAATGATTTATATCAGAAACCTGCAGGCCAGGCCCTAATTTTTAAATATACCCGGGCCGGGCCGTATATTTTAAAACCAAATATTTGAAATCGCCATTATAAACTAAAAATCATTTTAAAAAAATCCCCAGTTTTCAGACAATTTTTTCATAAACATTTAAACTTAATATAATTTATATTTCGATTTTCCATATATTTTTTTTATACAAATTGTAAATGACTCAAAGGTTAACAGCAAAATTGTCTATAATTCATAAGATAGGTATTCAAAACATGGATAGAAAAATATTTCTGGTAAAATCCGATTCTTAAATTTATTAAAACGAGCTCAAAAAAACTATTTAAAGTTGTAAAAATTAACACATTGCCGGAAAAAAACACAATGAAGCTAACATATTACAATACTACTGGATTGGCAAATAATTCAATTAAAAGTGTGGCGTTACGGCTGACTCCTATGTATGGACATTTTTGATTAATGAATCGCTAATTTACACTAATACATATATATATATACATCATCGGTATTACCTTTTCTTTTTAAATTTTCTCACAATTATTCTAAGGGGAAAAAAATTTGGAGGTATAGATTTGAACTCATGCTGAGTTTACTGAAGTTACATGCGCACGAGGGGGGGGCATAATAAAAGGCATCAAAAAACTACAACCAATTGGAACTATTTATTAATTAGCTATATTAATAATCTGTTTACCCGTTAAGACAAATTTTATAAATCTTTGTATAGTCTAGAATAAGAAAAGTGCCTATAAATCAATCTCTTTTTATATTCTGGTAAAGCTTAATTTTTCCGTCCGAAAAAAAAAATTGATTGATTTATTACTTATATTATACAAGGATTTTGACCTAAAGAGGTGAAAGGGAATATGTATAAGAATGTCGCTTGATAAAAATTGTGTAAAAATATAAATAAATAATTAAAACATACATGATTTATTAAATATTTTATTTATATTATGTAATACGAATAAATGCAGCAAGGGCAGGTGGTGTGTGACTGACCATATAACGGAAGATAAAATTTATAATCATGTATGTATAATAAGGTAATAAATAACACAAAAAAAAAAACCTTTACAAATGTTAGCAGCCACTACACAAATAAAGTAATTCAATTTTCTTTTTCAAAATCGTTAATATTAATATCGGTTTGAAACTGGAACAGGATAAAATTTGAAAACCGGAAAAATTAGGATCGGAACTCATTTTAAAATTTTCGGGAACCGAAAATGCGTGGAGGAAGGAGTATATATCTAATTTTATATACAATCGCGATTACAAATTTTTTTTGTCATTGTTTATTAACAGCTGTTTTGAAAGGGGAATACCTTTAAAAAACAATTTCGCATTTTAAAAAAAAATATTGGGAATTTGACGTTTCATTTCCGTAACCAACTTTCTTGAACTGAACGAGGGTAGGGCACGGTTAAAAGGGTGGATAGATATGAGGTAGGGGGGGGTTAATAAATGGCCATATACGGTCGCGCGAAATGCACAATCGTTAGCAGGAGTTTTTACTTAAAAATATATGATCGCCATTTCAACTGATATATATATAACGTGACAAGTTGACCTGTCTTGTGTCTGACAGATAGTAATTATTTGTCTGGAACCTTTAAATAAAGATACACTATTAACTTACTTTTAGCTAAAGTACTTGCTAAAACGCCAGAGACAAATTTTTTATAACCCAACCCGACCCGTATCCGAAAATATTTTTTAAAATATTCTCAATATATTTTAAAATATTCTCGACCCGGAAATTAATCACATATTCCCTAATCCAAAAAAAAAAATCCGACAACAAAATCAAGATTTTTAAATAAAAAAAAATATTAACCATAAAATTTATTGAAATAATCAAAACAAAAATGAACAAAATTGATAACGCTTCAAAGAATAAAGATAGGGGTAACTCTTAACGCACGGTTATTAAAACCGTTATAAAACGCGAAACCGATTATACCGACAAGCTCGATTTTTAATAACGGCTCACCCAATAAGCGCGGATATTTTGTTCTCGTAGATTGGGCAGAAAGGTTTGGACATTTATTAACGAAATCTCGAGGCTTACGTATTATTACTCTGGCTAAAATCTTAATTTAAAGATTGGCTAAATCGAACCGTTTAACGGCGCTAGTATCTGACCTCGTTTTTTCAGTTTTGTTTAATATTTTTGAATGAGTAAGTTTTATTTTTTATTAAGATTTTCACAATTTTTCAAACCACCATGTTAAGAAGGTTTTTTTTTCTAATGATAAATATTTTATTTCGATTTTAAAAAAGTTTACAATTTTACAATTAATGTCTAAAACAAATTTATTATTTAATGTACTGTATATTATAATCAATATAAAAATAATAATTAAAAGAAGGGGAATGGTCGGCAGGGCTTAATGACCCATGTATGGATATGCAGTTGGAACGACAGATTTCGATTAATCTTTGTCGAAGGTAGAAGCCTAAAAGTTATTATTGCTTTATAATATGTCGACGTGTGGCTAGTTAAATATCTAAAAATTAAAAAATCAATAATTAAACTCTAAATTACTTTTTTTTTACCGACATAAATTTAGAAATTCATTTTTATATGTTTTTTTTCCGGCCAATATGTTTATTTATTTTCAACTTTTAAATCATTTATTTTGATTACGTTTTTTTTAAATATATTTTTAAAAATTCAAATTTTTCTGGAAATATATTTTCCAGCATGTTTCGAATACCTATCTTATAGTGCGCACAAGTTGAGCGTTTCAAACATGGCGTTGCAAGCGCCAATAATGCATTTCAAATGGCCTCGTGCAAATTGGTAAAATTATCGTTTGGCGTTAGCAACCATTTAAAATTTTCATGACATATTCAATTTTGAATCAGGTGATGAGAATCTTCTACTAATCTCAGTGATCATAATTCTGATGAAGGATAATGATGGAAAGTAGCTGAGTTAGTAGTATACATCTGAATTGGAATGTAAATGGAAGGATGATTGTATAAGTTTTGTGTTGATTAATTATTGGTATATTCTGTAGGACAGATATATGAAGTTTGGCTGATTTTAAAAAATAGGAGTTTTGTGAATTTGAAATTCGTAAAAGTATTTTTGGAAGCTGAATGATAAATAATAATAAAAAATGATGTTACGTTGTTATGACTAACAATTACAGGTTTATTTGATATGGTTTTGTTGATTGTAATGTTGTTAAAA